TTCACTGGGTTAGGTGTCCTGTATGTCCCAGTAGCACAATCTCCCTGATCACCTGTGCTGTGTGCATGAGGCGTGTCCCTTGTATTGCTTGTGTGTGCCCTCCTGTTGTAGTTGAGCCTTGATCGCTTTTGGCATGTCAGTGGGTGGAATTGACTCCTAGGCTGACTGACTGTGAGGATTGGCCACACCCACTGCATTTGAGTTGTTCTGTGGGGGCTAACCCCTAGAGGAGGATTTGCCCCAGTGGGCTCCTGTGCCTACTGAGACCACCCTTCAGGTGTGCAGCTTATGGGGCTAACTGGGTGGTACTCTGCTATAGTCTGAAGCCAACCTTTGGATATGCTGTTTCTAGGGCCTCTTGTGAAGGGCTGCCATGCAGGCCAAGGTCAGCTGCTGCCTGTGACCACCCCAGGGCTACCTAGTAGGAACTACAAAGCTATCCGAGGCTGGTAGCTGCCTGTGCTGGACGTGGAGGCACATGGGGGTGGCCAGGGTGAGAACCAAGGCCAGCTGCCACCAATATCAGGCCCTGGGCAGCTTAGCAAAAAGCCCAGGGCACCCTGAGGCCTGACACTACCTGCTGGCTATCCATAACCCGCATCCACTAAAAGAGCCTCCTGCAATGCCTGGGGTGGGGCTCGTTGCCCAGGCTTAGAATGTGCCTCCAGTGATGTCACAAGAGCTGGGCTCAGGGGCCCAGGGAATCACCAGGGTGGGGTGGGTGGTGTGTTCATGAGGTTAATACAAATTCAGTTCTGGTGCCAGTGCTGGGCCTGTGGTCACTCAAAATACCTGGAGAACACTGAGGCCAGCTGCTACTTGCCTTGGACCCGCAGATCCCTGAGAATTGTCTAAGAAAGGCTGCAGAGAGAGTTGGGACTGGTTGCCCACCACCGAAAGTGCCTCAGGTGGCCACACAAGCCACTGTGGGTTGTTTGCTGCTGAAAAAGACTCATGCAATGTGCAGGGCAGGGCCGGTTGCCCAGATGTCAAAAGTGCCTCAGGAGATGTTGTGGGAGTTGGGCAGGGTCAGGTCCCAGGGAGTCATCACCAGTGGGGCGAGCCGAGTTCACCAGGCCAGTGCAGTTTCAAATTTGGCTGTGTAGGAGAGGGCACAACACAGGAATGATGGCGTCCGTCTGTAGGCTACACTGGAGGTGGGCTCCACAGAGGGATAATAGAGGCTGTCACTCTAGCCCTCATTATGAATCCACAAAACTCAGTCTTTCTCTGTATGTCTCTGGTACCTCTAGAATTGCCACCCCTCTGTGAGAGCCCAGAGTGAGGGCATGTGAGAGAGTCTGTGTGCAGGCCCTTTAAGAGGATATCTAGGTTTCCAGGAGCCTTCCATCTCACCTGGATGGGCGGAATCCTTGCTGTTTTCCACAGCCAGATGTTGTGGGGATTCCTCTTCCTGGCACTGGATCCCTGGGTTGGGGAACCTGGTGTGAGGCTGAGGCCCCTCACTCCTCAAAAGGGACCTCTGCTGCCGAGGTGTCCCTCCCGATGCTCAACCACTACGTGTGGATGTGGGGCCAGCCTGTTTTGCATCTCTGCCCCTCCTGCCAGTCTCAATGTGGCCTCTTCTTTATATTAGTTATAGGAGATCTGTTCAGCTAGTCTTCAGATGGTTCTTGGGGTTGATTATACTATAATTTAGTTGTAATTTTTATTTGGTCATGGAAGGTGGCAAGCACAGCATTTTCCACCATCTTGCCCAGAATTAAAAAGATCCACATTTATAGGCCATCAAGATTATTCCAGATTGCACAGGGTCCGGTGAATAGTATTCAAACAGAAAGTTACTACTTCATTGGCTCAAAGAGTGAAATGACAAGATTCAGGACTACCAGCTAATTGGAAATTAAGCAGAGAAATCTTGAAAGGATGGGCCACAGAGAGAATTCCCAAACCTGTAAACTCCTCAAATCTGTGATCCTCCTAAAGTGTGTGTGTACAAGGGAGACTCAGAGCAGTCCAGGAAAAAGCAAGAGCTAGAACCCTGAAAGAAATGAGTTGAGATTTCAGCTATTTCCCACTATAGGAGAAAGAGTTTAAAGCTAGAGTCCCACAAAGTTATAGGGGCTTAAAACACCATGGGCTTTCCACTGAAACCCCAGATTGGCTCTGCCTTATGAGTAAATAAGGCAATGGAATTTGCCCAAGAACTGAAGAAAAAATGTTTTTAAAATCCTACTCTAAAAAGCCTTTACAATTTTAAGGTTATAGCCAGTAATTGCAACTGCCTGTTAGAAAATAAAGAATAAAGGAGCAAAACCATATTATGATCATCTAAATAGATAAAGAAAAAGCACTTGCCAAAATTTAACAGTCATTCTTGATTTAAAAAAAAAAAAGACTATCAGAAAATTAGGACTAGAAAAAAACACTTCCTCAATTGTGATAAAGGACATCTATAAAATAATATAGCTGATATCATGCTTAATGGGGAAAGACTAAATTCCTTCTTCCTAAGATTGGTTATGAGGCAGAGAGGTCTGTCCTAGAGGCCTCCAAGCAACAGCAAGGCATGAAAAGGAAATAAAAGCCATAAATAGTAGAAAAGAAAAAGAAAAGGTCTTTATTAATAGACAATATGATTGTTTACGGAGATAATCCTAAGGTATCTAAAAAAAAAAACCAAACTACCAAAACTAATAAATGAATTTATTAAGGTCACAGGATACAAAGTCAATATACAAAAAAAAACAACTTCATTTCTAAATAATAGTAAAAACAAAAATTTCAAAATAAAAATTTAAAACTACCATTTATAACAGCATCAAAAAGTTTAAAATACTTAGGAATACATTTTTTAAAACATGTATAATATCTTTATATTGAAAATTACATAATATTGCAAATATTGATATTGATAAGAGACATTAAAGACCAAGTATGGAGAGATATACCATGCTTATGGATTTGAAGATGCACACAATTGTTAAGATGTTGTTCTTCTCAAATTGATCTATAGATTCAATAAAATTTCAATTCAAAATCCAGCAGGCTTGTGTAGAAATTGGTAAGCTGGCTCTAACATTGACATCAAACTTCAAAATACTATGAATAGCTAAAATAGCCTTAAATAAATAAACAAAAAGAATAAAGTTGGAGGACTCACACTACTTAACCTTCAGACTTATTATAAAGCAACAGAATGAAGACAGTATGGTATTTGCATAAAGATAGATGAATAGATCAACAGAACAGTATAGGCAAGCCACAACAGATCCACATCTACAGTCAACTGAGTTTTGACAAAGATTCCAAGGTGATCCAATGGGGGGGAAAAATGTTTTCAACAAATGGTGCTAGAACAACTGGGTTACTGTATACAAAAATAAATCTCAACCCTTCTACACACAAATATTAATTTAAGGGGGAACAAAGACCTAAACATAACATAGATCTAAACATAAAAGCTAAACCTATAAGCTTCTAAATGAAAATGGAATATCTTTGTGACCTTATGACAGATTTCTTAGAGAGGACACAAAGTGTATAAACTGTGAAAGAAGAGACTGATAAATTGGACTTGGTAAAAAAAAAAATTTTTTTTAAGTCACCATTGAGAAAGTGAAGAGGAAGCCACAGACTGGGAGAAAGCATTCACAATACATATTTTTCACAAAAGATGCATACCCAGAAAACATAAAGAACTCTATAAATCAGTAATAAAAAGACAAACCCAGTATCAGAAAACAGGGCAAAAGACTTGAACTGGCACTTGAAAAAAAAGAGAAAGAGAGAGAGAGACCAACAAGCACAAGAGAAAGTGTTCACCATCAGAAAATTGCAAATTAAAATCATGAAATATGATTTTATGCTCACTAGAATGTCTAAAATTAAAGAGATTGACCATACCAAGTGTTGGTGAGGATATGGAGTATTGAAACTCTCCTACATCACTGGTGGAGTGTAAGAATACAACCACTTTGGAAAACCATTTGAGAGTTTCTTATACAGTTAAATAAACATATAACTACTTTTTTTACCAAACAATTCTACTACTAGGTATTTATCCAAGAGAAATGAGAGTGTATGTCCACAAAAATTTAGGCACAAGGATGTTTATAGAAGCATTATTCATAATAACCAAAACCATGGAAAACTCCAAAAGTCCATCAAGAGGAGAATGGGTAAACAATTTGTTTTACATTGATATAAGGGAATGAATATGCAGCAACAAAAAATAATAAGATACTAATATAAGATCTCACAGAAATTATGCTGAGGAAAAGAATCAGACACAAAAGAGAACATACTATGTAGTTCCATTTATATGAACTTCCAGAATAGACAAAAATAATCTACGGTGAAAAAACAAAACAAAACATTATATTTATTGTCTTAGGCAACAAGGGATTGACTGGGAAAGGATGCAAGGGAACTTTCAGAGTAATGAAAATGTTCTATATGTTGGTTGGGGCGCTGGTTACACAGTTGTAAGCATTTGTTAAAATTCAAACTCCACACTTCTGATCTTCATTTCACTGTATATAAGTTTTACAATTTTTTTAAAAATTGGAGAGTGAGAGCTGGGGGTGCTACCAGGGTAGAAGGAACAGAATCCCTTAAAGAACAGAATGACATAAAGAATACAAAGAAAAGAACAAAATCCTTACATTTTTAACAGTTTCAGAGGCAAACTATAGGGCTGGCCCCAAAACAAAAATCTGAAGTACAGTTGAATAGACATGAACCAAAAAAGGCAAGAACCAAGTCAGCTAAGATGATGATGAGTAAAATCAAAACTCAACATATTAAACAAAGCAAACGATTGCCAGATTTAGCAAATACTATACTCGTATATAATCTGGCAACCCAAACCAATGACTGTTAGACAACAAAATGCCAGCCAGCCTAACTTAAAACAGTGAATTTTTTTTAAAGCATCTTTTACAAATGCTCTTTTTATAATTTCCATGATAGAAATTCCTACGGCATATAAACGAAGATTACACATATACCAGAAGCCACCCCAAACTCATTCTTACCTTCAGTGAAACTCCCTGTTAGGGTTATTACTACAAACACTTTCCCTTCTGGCTCCAGATCCACCTAGAAAGAGAGGGGAAAAAATGTATGTTACATTCTCATTTCAAAATACTTTTTATGGGCCTTAAATAATTCTTCACAGGGAGGCCTAAATGCACAAGTCACAGCCATAAATCAGGTCTAAGACTTTTCGTGAAACTACTAGAAGAGGGACAAGAATCAAGTGAAAACTCACAAAACCATAATGGTTGAAAAGCAAGTTGAAAAGAAACAGTTCTTTCAGTGTTTCCCTTCTCTTGAATAGTATTACCTTCCTTTTGGCTCTTTATGATATCAAAAAGCACCATAAACTTGGTCATTGTTTTTGAGATGTCTCTGTCTTACACACACCATTTATAAGAGCAGCATTTTATTAAACCACATGGCAATTATATGGAGGAGAGGTAATGGCAACATATAAGGTAACAAATATAACAAATGTAACGTGATCAACCTTTAGTTTTTAGGAAGTAAAACATATGAAGAAAAGAATGCTGTTTCTGTCTATGCCACTTGCACCTCCTCTTCAGGAAGCTCTAGGGAAGGCAATTGCATTCTCGAGTATTCACAGGAGTATCGACATTCCTTCAAGTTCTTATCGATGAGCTGAGATATCAAGATGTACATTCTGCAAATGAGGCGACCTGATTTGGTCCCATCTTCTGCACCTGCTCCAGCTTCCCAAGGACCGTCACACAGCATGGCCCCAGGGTGGGGCGGCACCCTCCACATCTACTCTGATCACACTAGCCCAAGTGGGCAGGCTCAGCTCTCTTCATGCTGGTGCTAACCTTGAACTATCCGTGAACATCTCTAAGTAAGCCTTGGATTGTGAAGTTCTTTTGGGTCCAAATACATGAATTTACAAATGTCCTTAAATAAAATCTTGTCAGGTTTGGCCCATTCCTGCCTTTGGCCTTTCATCTAAGAGAGAGAGAGGGGTTCAGAGAAGCTGAGTATAGATATGGATGACCATTTTTGGTAGAATATTAAATTTAAATAAACTGCTCAATTACAGGGTATGGCGGAAAGAGCCCCAAGCCAGCGCAGGACACAGATTCCAGCCTGACTGCCACAGCCGGCTCTGGGCAAGGTCTCTAACCACCCCAAGCTTCAGTGTTGCCATCTGCAAGTCCACGATGTCATTATTCAGCATTTCTGACATGGCTTCCATTAGATGATCTCAAAGAGCATTGGCAGTACCATTTACTGTACCTATAGGTGACAAGACTGGGGGGAAAAATGCATTGAACTTACCCTAGCTCACCACCACATATTTTTTAATACCACATCCTGATCATATAATTCTGAAAATAAAAGATGCCTGTTTTGTACTGACTCAGAAAGCTTTATCTGTACAGCAGCCTATTCATATTAACCCTCCTTTTCTCTGCATAAAATCTGCTATCGATGTGGTTTTCACATGGTAAAATCACCCCAGTATTCAAATCAGCCGCTTGCATCACAACTACAGCTAACTTAACTATACCCCCGTAACCATCTTAATACACTTGTGAACCTTTATAGAGCCGTTCTGAAAATAGAGCTCTCTGGAGAGATGACTAAACAGGATGTCAGTCTCTAATTGTCTTACTCTCTGCCTTGACTTGTTTCAAGTCAAAAATATGTTATTTTTAAAAGCCGCTCCTTCACCTTCAATATAAAAGCCTGACAGAACCACACACATTCAACTGCACAACATAAACTTCTGCTGGCACAGAAGGAGCTGCAGCCAGCCTCCAGACAGACAGACTGCCTGGGCACCTCCGCGATCCTCCCACCCACGGCCAGCCCATAAACTCCTTCCAACACCGCTGTGAGGGCCTGCAAAGAAGGCCACTCCACCCCCATCAGGTCAGGGTTGCTCTGACAGGCAGCAGGCGATTCCGCCACTTAGAATCAGGAGCTCTTACAGGTAGAACAGGTTTGCTTCCACATTTTCGACCCATGCTGCCATTGCAGAGGAAAAGCCAGACTCAAATGCCATCATCAAGCCTAGTCCATCTAAGACCTCTGACCTCAGGACAGGGTTTTTACAAACTGCAGGTTGAGACTCATTAGTGGGACATGAAAACAATGGAATGGATTGCATACAACAGGAATTTTTAAGTAGAATAAAATGGAACAAAAATATGAACACGCCAAGTAGTAAAAAATTATATATATATATATATATAAATAAATACACACACACACACATACTATGTCATGAAACTTCTGTTTGCAGTTTTGTACGCAAGTCTAAGGGTACACTGGGTTTTCATGTAGAAATGTGTTCTTTACTGTCACAGAGAAATAGCACTTCAGTTTTAAGAACTACCACTCCCTCACATGTAGTCCAAATGGTGCAGCTGGGTTTCTACCACTAGCTCCTGAGTGGACATGTGACCCAGGCCTTGCCATTCAGAGCACTGAATTCCTCCAGACACGATGACTGGCCTGGAGCTGACACCCACCCTATATCTGGCCATCTGAGTAACTGCTACTCACTACCTTCAATACTGGTTCAAGTTTGGGTACAAAATCCAAGTAAGTCTGATTAGGAATCCTGGATCTACACAGAAGAGACAGGACCTCACTTACAAACACCTAGCATGACACAGAGCCCTGCATGCTGTGTCCCCACCATCCAAACACACTCAGCCTGTATCTCAGCCTCTTTTAATAATGGGTGGGCTCTCTGGGGAGATGTGTTATTTCATTTAATTCAAGGGATCACTAAAGCATGTTATGGGTCAGGAAGCATACTGGGGAATCAGTCAAAATTGTGCAAAATACACATTACCTGTCTGAAGCTTACTGCCTTGTGATTTGGGGCATGTAATCTTTCTGGCTGGGAAATCCATTCCTCTGTTTTTTACCTGTCAAACTCTTATCCATCCATCAAGACTCAACTCAAAACTCACCCTTATAGGGAGACCTTCCCAGACCTCTTTAAGACAATTGGGCAACTCCACACCATTATGGAGACCATCACTGGAGCCACATCATGTTTTAGTCATTAGGCCCTGTCCCTTAGGACCCTGAATCACACATAAGAGGATTGAACTGGTTTGGTGAATGAATGAGGAAAAAATGAACAACATGGATATCCCAAGTAACTTCATATAGGACATGGTTTCTCCTCCTCTACCATTCTGATCAGTTTCCTCCCAATATGTCCTAATTTCTCCAAATCCCCACGGAAGAATGAACATCAGATTGAAGGTCTAACCTGACCCTCACAGGGAAGAGCAAGATTATCAACACCGTTGACCTTGAGAGTGCCCTTTACCGATGCAGCTACAGACTACATGAGCACTATGAGAAGCCCTGGTGACCCAGCTTGAGTTTGCCATCCACTTAAACCTTTGCATCTTTTCTATATGCTGTAAGGTTCTGCTTTCCCCATCCTGTATAGTAGTGAGACCCAAAATCCTATGAGCTTTGTATTTTTTCTATGGAACTTCAGCTTGTTGTTCTAGGCCCCAAGGTTCACTCGATCCCAAATCCAGTGGGTTCATTTACTTTCCTTCTTAGCTTTATAGCCTCCAATATCAGGGCCTAGGTTAGCTATACCACCATCTAAAGCATACACTGTTGATGGGACTGTAAAGTGGTACTGTTACTTTGGAAACAGTTTAACATTTTCTAAAAAAGTTATATAAATAACTCCCATTGGATCTAGCCATTCCCTTCCTGGGTACTTACCCAAGAATAAAAAAGCATATGTCCATACAAAGATAGGTACATAAATGCTCACAGGAACTTTCTTAAAAATGTGGGGTAGCCATACAATGGAATAAAAGAATGAACTATTGATACATGCAACAACACAGAAAAATACTGAATGAAAAATACCAAACAAAAAAGAATACAATTTGTGTAAAAAAGGCAAACTAATCTATAATAGAAGAAAACACATTAGTGGTTGCCTAGGGACAGAGGTAAGACAAATAAGACAAGTAGGGAAGGATGGAAAAGAGTCATGAGAGTACCAGGGCAATTAAATGGAGAAAGAATACTCTTTTTAACAAATGGTGCTAGGACAACTGGATAACCACACGCAAAAAAATGAAGGTGGGCCTGAATCTCATACCATATGTAAACATGAACTCAAAATGAATCATAGGCATAAATGGAAGAGCAAAAAGTTTAAAACTCTTAGAAGAAAACATAGGAGTAAATTTTCCTGAGCTTGGGTCAGGTGATGGTTTCTTAGGTATGACATCAAAAGTACAAATGACAAAAAAAAAATCAGACTACACCAAATTAAAAACTTTTGTGGTATAAAAAAACAAACAAAAAACCCCACAAAAGTACCTATACCTCACTGCCCAAATACCCCTTCCAAAGTTCCACTCTCATCATCTTTCCCAAGCAAGCCTCCGGTGGCTTTCCAGTGCCTTCAGAATAAACTAACTCTGCTCCACCTGGCTTTCTGGGCCACTTTTTACTGAATCCCCACTAGTTTATCCAAACTTCTTATTCAAATTTCCATTATTTCAACTTGTTCTTCTAGTCAGGCCCATCTCTTCACTGTCACACAGACACCAACTTGCTCAGGCTATTGTCTCTGCTTAGAAAGCCATTCTTTCTTCACTTCATCTGCCCGTTCATTCAAACCTTAACTGAATTACTCCGAGGCCAGGATCACTACCAAGTGCCCAGGATTCCCTGAGCAGCAACCCGGGGCTGAAGGTAGGATGGGTAACCAATTGTACCTGGCGAAGATGACACAGCTACAGGAGCTCAATGAAGAAACTTTTGCCAGGAAAATCTTGACATGCACATTGACCCCTCCAGTCTCAAAATTCCTATCTCAATTATTATCTTAGTAGTTATCTATGCTGTTGAACAATTAGATAAAATTTCATACTCAAAATTTCATATATCTTACCACTTGGAATAAGTCTGTAAGCCCCATCCAGTGAGACCTGACACTTCTATATTCCCCAAAGGGCCTAGCAGAATTCTTTGAACCTAATAAATATTAAACATATATCTGTTGATTCGGTCTAATGATCTGAATTGGAAGGTCATTG